GATTGTCAAATGGGCACTGACAATCCGGAAAGACCGGTACATGCTATGTCTTCTCAATTGGGAGGATGACTGGTATCAAGTCATTCGTGTGGAGACACTAAGACAAGTAAACTGGACTGGCAGGGGGCTGTAGCCAAAATTGAGTTTGTCTTTAAGCTCTTCTTCCCTTCATCCAAATTAGGCCTTAACATGCTTGAATTGCATGAATTATGCTCTCTTGCTCTATTTGCCTACAAAACACACAAAGGAAGGCAAATAACTTAGAAGTCTAGGAAACTAAGCAAAAGAAGTAAGTAAATAGGGCATGTATATGTATGAAATTATGAGCTTAACAGTGCTCAATGGAGAATGAGTTCACTGAATGCGATCAAACGAGAGTTTCTTGTATGGAAATTTTACTTATATGTTAAACAAGAAACTCCAAGTTGCAATAATGCAAATTAGTCCTTAGACCTGATGCACCATGGTTGTCTTGTGGGAAGGTTGTGGATCTTTGATGATGCTATAAAGACATATCCTAATCACGAATGTGTTACAAGCATTGTTGGGATTCACGATTAACTCATGGGGACATGTGAGTGTACAACATGGAATCTCTATCCTTCAGTAAAGAAGGAGAATGCTCGGAAGATATGATTAAGCAAATCTCTGATCAGAGTATTCGGTATGACTTAGAAGGATGTTCTTGTCACACTAATACAAATCATATAAGACGTGACAATCTCATTAGGGGTTTTGACATGCACCATGCCCTAGTAAGGAGATTAAAAGCATTGTAATAGGGAAGGACCGTATTGCATTGTAATTCCAACTGAATAGGTTCTCTGCTTATTCTACTTAGCTTGGATATCCATGACATGCTGCTAGGTGTCACTCATGGATGGCGGAAGCCCTAAGGACTAATGATCCTAACTAATAGGGAGAATTAAAAAGGGGTTTTAATTCACAATCAATTACGAAGAGTTCAAATTGCCCTCGACCTTGCTAATTAGAACCTAATGGATCGCACACCGTTAAACTTGAGTTATTTGAGAAACCGTTATGGAGATGATGAATTGAAGAGATCAATTAAGCTTTGTTAATTGGTTAAGGCAAAATTAATTATGGATTTAATTTAAACGACACGTGATGTCGGAATAGGCTTCAAACAGGAATTTTGAATTCCGGACTCATTGGGCTTTATCCTTTTGGACATGGAGATTGGGTTGTATGACAACATAAATTAAATTGAGCCCAAGATAGAGGCCCGATTTCAAGGGATGGACGTTCATATGGGCTTTTGGTTGCTAGAGTCAACTTGTTGACTCAAGAAAAAGATGACTATCATCTTTTTGAAGCCTAAGGGGTCATTAGTGAAAAACAAGAGAGAGAAAGAAAGCTCTAGTCTTCCAAAAACTCTCTCTACCCTTTCATACCATCTTAGTGAGGGATCACTAGCATCATTCTCTCACTAAGCTCATCATCTTCTTCTCAAGCTCTAGTTGGTGAAGAGACTTAGAGGTTACCTATTTTGGTGACTTTTGGAGAACCTCCTAAGTTGAAGTTTTGAAGGAGTCATTCAAGCTTCAACAACAAGGTGGAGATTTTGAAGGAGCCATTCAAGCTTCAACAACTTTGGTGGAATTCGATCATAGGGTTGAAAGCACGCACCAAAGGTAACTCCTCCTTCCAATCTTACTAGAAGTATGTTCTAGGAAAGTAGTACAACTATCACTTGGCTTAAAAGATTCATGGGAAAAGCTGGATTCATAGGAAAAGTTTTTGTTTTTGAACTCATAGATGCATGCTTAAGCTTCTGTTGCCATGATTTTATTATCTATGTTGATGTTCAAATGAAACTCATGATTTTCTAAAGGTTTCCTTCAAGTGGTATTAGAGCCAAGGTCAAGTGATAAGTTGTACCATTTTGGGTTTTTGTTTATGAATATGGGTAAAAGTTCTTTGTGGCATAAATGTTATGTGTTGTGATGCCTTGATTGTTTCATTTTGAAAAGTCTTGCATCTTTAAGTGTTATAGATGTTTTAAGAGAAGGCATTAAAGTTTGAACACATGGGTTAAAAGGGGGTTTCGGCCATATTGGATTTCGGGGGTTTTTGTGATGTTTCAATGCTAGCTTGAGCATTGTAAAATTTCTATGTTGATAGCCACTTTCATCTCCACGAAATTTGACACTTAAAAATATGATTTTTGTGTTATGTGTGTTCTTGAGTTCATATGAATGTTCTTGTGAGTTCATAGGATGAATGCATGTGTTCTAGTTTTTGATCCATTTTGGTGGGATTCAATTTCGAAATTGTGTTGGTCTTGATTTGAATGAGGACATTGACCTTGGTTATCCAAGATTCCATGTCCCCTTGTTCCCTTAGTCAAAAGCATGCTCCTCTAGTTTTTAGAAAATTAGAATATCAAGACATAGGCATGCCTAGTGTGCCATTGGTCTTTGGGATTGTTTCCTTGGTTGAAGGATTATTCCCTTGCCTAGGAACTTGTTTGCATGGAAGACCACTCTCTTGGTCTTAGGATTATTCCCTTGCCTAGGAACTTGTTTGCATGGAAGACCACTCTCTTGGCCTTAGGATTATTCCCTTTCCTAGGAACTTGTTTGCATGGGAGACCACACTCTTGGTCTTAGAAATGTTTCCTTGAAACTTGATAAGGCATGTTTGATCCATTTATGGGACAAACCAACACTCTCATGCATGTCACATACACACAGACACTTCACATGGGCGGCCCCACCTTGGAATCCTCTTGGATTCCTCATGCAATTATATTATTTGTTTTGGACTTCTATGCAATTACTTTACTTTGCGGTTTGGTACTTGAGTCTTTAATTAATTGCATACTTAACCCCACGTTTTGAACTAGGACCATATACTAAAAACCCAAAATGTTTAAGTTGCATTCTAAAGTTCAATTATTTTAATTTGATTGAAGTAGTTGAAAGGATGATTATGGACTAAGACCCAAATTGAAATCGAACTATGTGATTGGCTGACTATCAATTTGATTGAACCATGGGATGTGATTTATTCGTTTATTGGGCTTGTATTTAATATGGTTTAATTCTTTTGTTAAAGAGGCTTGCATGTCTCTCTTTTTTCTTTTCTTATGTAATTGTTAAAGAGGCTTGCATGTCTCTCCTTTTTTTTTCTTTTCTTATGTAATTGTTAAAAGGCTTGCATGCCTTTGCTTTTCATATGATGTAAGCTAAAGGAGAAGAAAGAAGGAGATGAAGTCCAAGGCTCAAGTTAGATGGGCCTCAAGCCCGATTAGGATTGCATGTTTAATTAGTTAAACGCGTAACTAAAATAAATCACCCTCCCTAGACCAAGATCCAACATTTGGCTCATGTTGGATCAAATATTAAAAGTCCATAATCATCCTAAGGGCCTAAGATAACTATATGTCCAAAATTCAAGAATGCAAAATTTTCATTAGTAGTGATAGATACTCCTTGATTTCTAAAACAAATAGTGGGAGTACCATATGCTACTAACAAATTGGACCAATAGTTATGATAGGACCAAATTTTATTTTAATGAGATTGAAATGAATGTTGTATGATGAGACCTAAAACTCCCTCAACCAATAATAATATTAAGTTGATAAACGGAGAGGTATTTTGAATATATTTTCGTGGCCTTCCACCATTGTGGACCCTCATCAATTATAACCAATACACCGTGCTTCACCCTAATATGCGGAACACAAAGTATGTGTTTATTTTGAAAGGGCTCATTTCAAAACATTTGATGTTGTGAATGTAGGCAACGAGTAATGCCAATATTCTATTATGATGAAGTGTTGCTTGAACCCCTACACTCACCGGAATGGTGGGCATGACTTAACTAGTACAATGGTACCTCACGATAACATTTGGGGGTGCACATTTGCTAGAGGCCAAAGTGATGGGTAATCACATCATGATGTGAATGGATAAGAGTACTCTCTTTTCACCATTCAAGCAAACCAATATTCTATTATGATTTGGCAAGCTTGATGGTGGTTGAGCCTCCCATCCCCACTAAGAGTTGAAACTAAACTCTCGGATTCCATTTGAGGGATATGGAATTTGCCAAAAATAGTGGGAGGTGCCATTTGATTTAAAAGACCCGAATCATTGGGTTTATAAAAGCAATCTAATTTAAATTTCCGTATGTTATGTAGATATGTCTGGAACCGCGCTCGCCAAAATTCTTAACAAACATTGCCTTGAGGGGCACAATTTCCCGGAATGGTTCCGAAATCTCAAGATCATTTTGATCTGTGAGAAAATTGCATACGTGCTTGATAAGCCGTTCCCTCATCAACCTCCTGGTGATGATGTCACTGAGGAGGAACATGCTCAATATGTTAAGCACATACAAGATGACACACAAGCTAAATGTTACATCCTTGCTTCCATGAACTCTGAGCTTCAGAAGCAACATGAACACATGGATTGTGCAATTGATATGATCGCTCACCTACAAGAGCTGTATGGTGAGGGTACGCGTAACAGACGATTCAGTGCTGTCTGTGAGCTTGTGAAGACCAAGATGGTCAAGGGAGCACCGGTCCATCAGCATGTACTGAGGATGATTGGACTCATCGAGCAGTTGGAGAACTTAGGAACTCCACTGGATGGGGAATTGGCCCAAGACTTTATCCTTGCATGACAGGACCCGACCCAAATTCCACTTTGAAATCTGAGCCGAACCCTGTGCGTGTCCGACACCTGGCAAGTGCCGGCCACAAATGAACTAATTGCCCTTCTAGTCAAGCTTCACTTAAAATTGGGGTTTGACTTTTGCCGAAAAATTTCAGCAGAGTCTCCCCTGCGATTAGACCAATCCCAAGATTACACCTGTCAAACATGCATATAAGAATATACACCAACTGCCAGCATACAAAAATTTACATACTAACAGTTAGACAAGTGTTCTAGGGCAATATCAGAGCTCTACACAAAAAAGATTACAAGTATAAAATAATTATACAAGACCCTACGCTGTCAAGGGATGTGGCGGAAGATGGACTCGGCCCGATGGTGGCTCACAGTGCACGCTTACTGCCTGGGGGCGCAAAACATTTAAAGGGTGAGTGGACCAGAAACAAAGCTTTAGAAAAATAGCATATATACATACTAACCCCACTGTAAAAACTGTTATAAAACTAACTCATTTCTTATATAAATACGCGTACTGGAATCACTGTATTCATATCTATATATATATATAATCAATCACATACTTGATCAAACATTAAATCATTGAAAGCATTGAAATCAACTTTTAATCTACCACCTAGGTGTACCCATTTATTGTTTTGTCAATTCCATATAATCCGTCAATTCCTTAGTTCCGTCAATTCCTTATGTTTCCGTCAATTCCTCTATAATCCGTCAATTCCATTCTCGTGCCGCCGAAGTGACACATTCTCTCAGACTTCGGTGACGCAAGGTCAACCCAAACCGCAATCTCGCAGGATTCAGGGGACACTAGGTCAACCTGATCCGCAATTTCGCACCTCACGGTCTGGGCGTCCCCGCAACTTGTGGGGCAGTGTCAAGCATGTTGACCTAACCGAAGGCAACAGGGTGTCCGTCGACACCATTATAACCGAAGGCAACTGGATGTCCGTAGACATCATCATGACCGAAGGCAACCATTTAAATCCGAAGGCAACATATTTACCGATGGCAACCTTAATCAATCTTGGGTACCTATGGTGGTTTCTAAGAAAAATATAGTTTCAGAAATAATTTAACGAGAAATAAAATAAATTCTTATTTGACTCTGAACTCTGCTGCCCTTTTATTTGTTAACTATCCAAAACTCTAGTATGCCAAAATCTCTAGGCACTCTCAACTCGGCAGCATGTAAAATATAAAAATAAAACATAAAACATATAAAAGCGATAAATCAAGCTATTAAAACTCTGATCAATGAATAAACTTATTCAAGATCAAGTAATAATATTAAATTGCATAAATTCATTTATGAAAACAAAAAGGTCCACTCACAGATACTCTGAGCTAGTTGGACCCTTTGAAGGTCTCTCCTGCGGGTCACCTGGTGCCCGGGTGCCTGTATAACCATCACAATATTTTATTAAAAACTCTGCTCAGTAATATAATATTAAATTAAAAACCCTGACCCCGGCTCCTAAAAGTGCGTGCATCACTTTAAAGGTCATTCTTATGCTCACACAAGCTTTTCTCTCAAAGGGCACGATTTAAAAGTACCTAGGGACTCAAAAGCGATAAAGTCCCAAAAAGTCAACTCGGGACCCCGTGGGGTCCACGACCTCAGAATTCTGATCCGATCGTTCCTAGAGGTTCCAAAAGGCCTAGGACACAAGTCCTGAAAGTTTGGTCTCGATCGGACGGTCAGATTGCTCACGATCGCACGATCAGATTGACAAACGATTTTCCGTAAACCTAGACCTAGGGTTGGCTTTTTCAGAGCATCCTGGACTTCGATTTATAATCCGTCAAATCCTACACGATCCTTAAAATACCTAGATCAACATACTCGAGTTTGGCTTTGATCCAACGGTTTGAACGTATTGAATCTGGAAAATGCACACTATGCGAGATCCGTTCAGGGTTTAAACGTTATCCAAATTGAGATCCGCGAAATCCTATGCGCTCGTGAGGACACGAGGATCAATCTAGTACCAAGAGTGGCTCCTGTTACCTGGTCCATGCGCCGCCCACGCACTGGCAGCGCGTGGGTGTGCCTAACAATTTCCGGTGACTGGGTTTTCTCCACAACGTCGGCCCAAACTCCTATACTAAGTAATATACCCTATTTGGAACCACTTTTGTTCTTGGACTATGGCCAAAAAGTGGCCGGAAGTGACTGAAAACGGCGACGCAAAACCGGCAATAAGTCAACTCGTAAATCAACCTGTCAAACTTCAAAATCTCTGCAAACCTACCCAACCAACAGCTAGAGCATGAAAATCAGTCGAAAAACCATACCTAATTCATCCGATTTGGTGGCCGGAGGAGGGAGAACGAGAGGTTTGAAATTCGGAGAAAAACCAGCCAAATCCGAGCTGTTTCCAGTGGCTGGAGCTGTCGACGGAGGCGGCGCAGGTCGGGGGTGCGACGGCAAGGTCCGGCTGGCGTGTTGGGTCTGGTCCGGTGGGCTGGGGTGGTCAGCGCCGGTGGTTATGGGGGTTTGGGGTGTTGGCTGGAGCAAAAAGAAAAACAGGGGACGGGGTGTGCGCGAGGAAGAAGAGAGAGTGAGGAGAGAGAGGGAGAATCTGATTTTAAAATCTGATTTTTCCCAAAATTATTATTTTGCCCTTTTTCTTAATTTCCTCGTAATTTCCTCGTTACAAGTCCGATTCGAGTTCACAACGTGTCTACGGACTCGTTTCGTTGCGCTCTATGCAACGGTATGAGTGGATTTCCCAAATTCTTTCCCGGTCAAAAAGTCAACTTAAAACCTAATAAAATATTCTAAGGGCATTATGGTCTTTTCCTCCATTAAATTATTAATTAAATATTAATTAAGGTTTGGGTTGTTACATTGCATCCCTCTCATACCAATTCTCCCAGTTTGTAATGAACTACAACATGGGAAAAATGGACCAAACTCTTGCTGAGTTGTTGCACATGCTGGTCATAGTTGAAAAGACTTTCAAAAAGGAAAGTGGGAGTGGGATTGTGGCTGCCTTCGAGAAAAGCTCTTCTTCGTCTACTAAACCTAAGCCTAAAACCAAAGGCAAAGGCAAGGGCAAGGGAAAGGAGAAGAAGACTACTGTAGTCAAACCCGAGGGTAAAATCACCAAAAAGAAGGCAAAGGAGCCCAAAGGAATATGCTTTTACTGCAATGAAAATGGGCACTGGAAGAGGAACTGCAAGAAATTTCATGCAAGCCTGAACAACAACAAACCTCCAGGAGGTACTATTCTTGTTCTTGAATCAATTCTAACAGTTAGTTCTTCTACTTGGATATTTGATTCAGGCGCTAGCCAACATGTTTGCAATTCCTTGCAGGGGCTGGTGGGAAGTAGAAGATTGAAGAAGGGAGAGATGGTGCTACGTATTGGAAACGGCACAAGAATATCTTCTAAAGCTGTTGGCACCTACCTTCTCAAACCACCATCAGGAGAGGTTTTGGAATTAAAAGATTGTCTTTATTTTCCTGCTTGTATTAAGAACTTAATCTCCATCTCTATGCTTTTAAGAGATGGGTACTCAGTTATGTTTGACAAACTAAGTTGTTCTTTATATTTGAATGGATGTGTAATTTGTTATGCTCATATCATAGATGGCCTCTTTCATTTACAATTGAATGGTAGTGTTAACTGTTTAGAAGGTAATGATGCATCGAGGCCTAAAAGGCCAAAAGATGATACCAATCCTACAAAAATGTGGCATTTAAAACTTGGGCATATCAACCAAGACAAAATTCACAAGATGGCCAAAGATGGATATCTTGGACCGTTGGGTTCAGAACCAATGCCAACTTGTGAGTGTTGTCTAAAGGGTAAGATGTCTAGGTCTCCTTTCTCTGGCAAAGGGGAAAGAGTCACTGAATTGTTGGGGTTGATCCACTCTGATGTCTGTGGGCGTATGTCCACGTCATCAAGAGGAGGCTTCTCATATTTTATAACATTCACCGACGATCACTCTCGGTTGGGCTATGTTTATCTCATAAAGCATAAGTCCGAATCCTTTGAAAAGTTTAAGGAATTCAAGAATGAGGTTGAGAAGCAAACAGGAAAGAGTATAAAGATTCTAAGATCAGATCGAGGAGGTGAATACTTGAGTACAGAGTTTCTTGATTATCTCAAGGAACATGGCATCATTTCACAATGGACTCCACCGGGGACTCCACAACTCAATGGAGTTTCTGAACGGAGAAATCGAACCTTGATGGACATGGTTCGTTCCATGATGAGTTACACTGATTTACCTATATCCTTTTGGGGATATGCACTCCTCACTGCAATTTACTTGCTGAATCGAGTGCCTTCTAAGTCTATCTCAAAGACCCCATATGAATTGTGGTTTGGCAAAAAGCCAAGTCTTAATCATGTTAAGATTTGGAGTTGTCCTGCATATGTCAAAAGACCTGATGCAGATAAGCTTGAAGCTAGGTCTGTTAAGTGTAAATTTGTGGGGTATCCTAAGGAAACCCTTGGATACTACTTCTATCAACCGACGAACAAAAGGTGTTTGTCGCAAGGTCCGCCAAATTTCTTGATAGAGAATTTGCTCTAGATGGGTCAAGCGGAACAAAGATAGAAGTTAAAGAAATGTCTAGTGAGCCACAAATCACCACTCAAAAATCTGACAATTCAATTCCTGAACCTCAAGTAACACAAGCTCCACGTAGATCTAGTAGGGTGAGCCAACCACCCCAAAGGTATGGGTTGCTTCATGACATCATTGGTGAGTTACATCTCCTTGGTGACAACGAAGAAAAGGATGATCCCTCTAACTATACTGAGGCTATGTTTGACATTGACTCAAAGAAATGGTAGGAAGCCATGAAATCCGAGATGGATTCTATGTATGCCAACCAAGTCTGGACTCTAGTCGATCCGCCACAAGGCATTGTACCTATTGGAAATAAATGGATCTTCAAGAGGAAGATTGGCTCGGACGGTAAAGTGGAAACCTACAAAGCTAGATTAGTAGCTAAGGGCTACAAGCAAAGAGAAGGGATAGACTATGAAGAAACCTTCTCGCCTATAGCCATGATAAAGTCGATTCGGATTTTGCTTGCAATAGCAGCACATTATGATTCTGAGATTTGGCAAATGGACGTCAAAACGGCCTTTTTGAATGGTCACCTTAAGGAAGAACTTTATAAACAAATTGCTAACTCATTTTCCGCGCTGATAAGATCCATCCTGAGCATGGTTCTGTGTTTGCTAGGTAACGTACTCCAGATTTATCCAATGGGGCTGACCTTTGGATATGTTATAGTACACACCAATTGGAACAACTTTCATGAAGAATGTGGCCTCATTCGAGCTATGTAGGTTGTTGAAACAAAGCTTGCAATATGACCTACGGAACTGGACTGGCAGGGGGCTGTAGCCAAAAATGAGTTTGTCTTTAAGCTCTTCTTCCCTTCATCCAAATTAGGCCTTAACATGCTTGAATTGCATGAATTATGCTCTCATGCTCCTTTGGCCTACAAAACACACAAAGGGAGGCAAATAACATAGAAATCTAGGAAACTAAGCAACAGAAGTAAGTAAATAGGGCATGTATATGTATGAAATTATGAGCTTAACATGGGCCTATGTCCACATCATCAAGAGGAGGCTTCTCATATTTTATAACATTCACCGACGATCACTCTCGGTTGGGCTATGTTTATCTCATAAAGCATAAGTCCGAATCCTTTGAAAAGTTTAAGGAATTCAAGAATGAGGTTGAGAAGCAAACAGGAAAGAGTATAAAGATTCTAAGATAATATCGAAGAGGTGAATGCTTGAGTACAGAGTTTCTTGATTATCTCAAGGAACATGGCATCATTTCACAATGGACTCCACCGGGGACTCCACAACTCAATGGAGTTTCTGAACGGAGAAATCGAACCTTGATGGACATGGTTCGTTCCATGATGAGTTACACTGATTTACCTATATCCTTTTGGGGATATGCACTCCTCACTGCAATTTACTTGCTAAATCGAGTGCCTTCCAAGTCTATCTCGAAGATCCCATATGAATTGTGGTTTGGCAGAAAGCCAAGTCTTAATCATGTTAAGATTTGGGGTTGTCCTGCATATGTCAAAAGACCTGATGCAGATAAGCTTGAAGCTAGGTTTGTTAAGTGTAGATTTGTTGGGTATCCTAAGGAAACCCTTGGATACTACTTCTATCAACCCAACAAACAAAAGGTGTTTGTCGCAAGGTCCGCCAAATTTCTTGATAGAGAATTTTCTCTAGATGGGTCAAGCGGAACAGAGATAGAAGTCAAAGAAATGTCTAGTGAGCCACAAATCACCACTCAACAATCTGACAATTCAATTCCTGAACCTCAAGTAACACAAGCTCCACGTAGATCTAGTAGGGTGATCCAACCACCCCAAAGGTATGGGTTGCTTCATGACATCATTGGTGGGTTACATCTCCTTGGTGACAACGAAGAAAAGGATGATCCCTCTAACTATACTGAGGCTATGTCTGACATTGACTCAAAGAAATGGCAGGAAGAGCCATGAAATCCGAGATGGATTCTATGTATACCAACCAAGTCTGGACTCTAGTCGATTTGTCACAAGGCATTGTACCTATTGGAAATAAATGGATCTTCAAGAGGAAGATAGGCTCGGACGGTAAAGTGGAAACCTACAAAGCTAGATTAGTAGCTAAGTGTTAGAAATGTGCCCTAAGAGCCAGTACATTTGATGTAATCTCCTTAGAATACATTTCGTATATGATATATAAAGGGCAAACTTATTTGTTATCTTTTACATCGTCTAAAGAAACAAATGTCCAGGGCATGCTAAATAAGAGATAAAGTAATCTAAAGAAGATTAGATTTGGGAGACCTTTAATCTCTAACTGTAGCATCCCAAAATATTCCTAATCATAGGTTATCAAATGGGCATTGATAAACCGTCAAGATTAGCACACATTATGTATGCTCAATTGGGAGGATGGTTAGTCTCAAACCATTTGTGTAGTTGACACTAATACAAGTATGTGGGTGCTCATTAGTGAATGAGTACATTGAACGCGATCAACCGTAGTTCTCATATGGAGTATATATCTACATGTCAAATGAGAACTCATAGTTGCAATAATGCAAATTAGTCCTTAGACCTGAGACATCATGGTTGTCCTGTGATGCGTATTTGATCTTTGATAGCTCTTAAAGGCAAGCCGTAAAAGATTTGTCTTAAGTGTTGTTGGGATCTCTTAATTCGTCATAGGGGCATGTGAATGTACAATAAGGAATCTCTACTTTCGATAAAGAAGGAGAATGTTTCAAGATGTGATTCAGTAAATCTTTGGCCAAGTATTTTGAGCTTGATTTAGAAAGTTGTTCTTAATCATGTTCTTTTGAATCACATGAGGTTATAAATCATATAGATTATTATAAATAAACCCAATCCTAGACATGTATTTATAAAAAAACCCACACACTATTTAAACATAGAAACACACCCAAAATCAACCCCAAAATCAACAATTGTATATTTTTTGGGTGTGTTTATAAATGGGTTT